CTGCAATTTGGGGGCATTTGGCTCCTAATAAGGGAGACACATGGGCAATGAGTGAGAGGAGAAAAAGGGATCCCTTAGCACATCCCTCTTAGCGCTTCACTGCTAAAGCAGGGGCTCATTCCTGCATCTCCACCCCCTGTGGAAGCCCCTGGGACCCAATATAGATCTGTCCATCATCACAGAGATGGACAAAGGCACACAGTGATGGTTGGGGGGAGGGTATAGCTCAGTGGTAAAGTGCATGCTTAGCATGCACGAAGTCCTGGGTTCAAAAACAAGTAAATAGATAAATAAACCTCATTACCACCACCCCACCGAAAAAAAAGGAAAAAAACAAAGAAGTGATGGTTGATTGCTGTGTCTTATCCAGGGAGCAGGGACTCGGGATGGGACCCTGATAAGAAACATCGTTTCAAGGAGTGAGATTGACTTAAATCTCATCAAGCGTCAATTCAACAAGATGTACGGCAAGACCCTCAGCAGCATGATCATGGTAAGCCACGAGTTCCCAGTTCTCCCAATTCTAACACCAGTTTGAAACAGAGACCTTACTGGGAAACCTGAATCCTGCAACTAATGTCCTAAGTCACAGGTGCCCATCCCTTCCCAGTGGGCATCAGACCCTTGCATTGCTACGTGGTGTGTGCAGGGGTCAGCAAGGAGGTGGGTGCGGCTAGAGCCTGGTGGGGAGTGGAGGCCCCTGTACATTTCACACAGAAGGTTAGCTTTGCCTTTGACTTACGGTTGCCCCTCTGAAAATGACACACTGAATCATCAAGAGTCAGTGAGAGCAGATAGTTTGGTAGGAATCGAGGCGTGGCAGTCCCATCCAGATTTAAGTAGTTCTGGCAGCAAAGTTTTACGGAGATAAATCAGATGGGCTCCAGTGGGTTGCCTAACTTGATTCCAATTAGTGAAAGTTCTGGAGCTGAGAAAACGCAGAGTGATTATCACTTCCCGAGAAATAGCTCTCCCGGACATTGATGCCAATTGAGACCTTGACAGTTTCATTACCAGAAGTCAAGTCACGAGAAACACATCCCTAAGTCTTCACTGGCTATTAAGTCAGGTCTCTAGTCATTCTACAAACATCTACTGTTCACTACACTTTCTGAGAAACACATAGCTTACCGTATGTTAAAAAGACATTTCTGCTTTAAGATATTTCCAAATGGCCCAGTAGGTAGGTGGGGGTGGGAAGGGTGGAAATTATTCTTGGTTTTGTTTTAGGAGGGCTGGGTGAAAATCAGCGGAGGCTACAGCTGTGTCACTCAAAGGGCTGGCTTTCCCAACACTTAGTCCCAGCCAGT